CGGCCGCGCGGAAGGACTGAACGGAGAAGCGTGTGGGGACCCCCGGGGGCCTCTGCCCTCCCCTCCTCCCGGGGTCCGCCTGGGGAGGAAGGAGGCGCTGGTCCGGGATCTCGGCAGGAAAAGGTGTGCGTGTGCGATGTGTGTGTCTGGGGGTGAGGGGTTTCTGGAAAAGACGTTAAAGTAGGTGAACCCTAGGGTCCTGATGACCCAGCCCCTCCAGGACGCCCCTCCACCCCCGTTAAAGGGATCGGCGGAGAATAGGGGCAGGTGGGAGGGCAGAATTAGCTCTTTAGTTCCTAAAGGGTTATTAGGCCGAGGAGGGAGAGCGTGCGGGTGGTTGGAGAGGGAAGAGGGGTGACCTCCGGGCCGCTCCGGGAATGTAACTGTGTGTGTTGTGTTGAGAAGGGTTGCTAAAATGGGTTTCGTGGTGGCGGCGAGAACTAGTGTTGGAAGTGACCAGCGGAGGGGAAGGTTTGGGTGTCCTTACTTGACGGCCGGGCGGCTAGACCGGACCGCTGTAGAATCAGTCTGCCCTCTAGTGGTCAGTAGGCGTCATTGACGATATTGGGCCACCAAGCTCTCCAACCCGGCGCCCAGGCCAGGCCAGGACCCTAGGCTTGCAAACAGTTGCAGGGGACCTAGTAAGGGTTAGGCACCAGCTAGGTGCTAAGGGCAAAAAGAGAAATAGGTAGAGAGTCTGTACCTCAAGAGCTCTATTTGGGACAGACAGTCATAACGTAATATCGTTAAGCACTGTAATATAGAGATGGATAAATTAAGCAGAGGTCCAGATGAAAACTATTCTGCCTGCCTTGGGACCAGGAAAAACTTCAAGGAGAAATAATTCAACAGGGGTAGAAGGATGAGAAAGGTATTCTGTGTAGAGAGAGAGAAACTGAAGTATGTTTTCTATATAGAGAATTTTAGGAGAATTTTGAATATTTCTATGGTTAGAGCAAACAGCAGCCCAACTTAGGATGGCAGGCACATTTTGTTTGGTCTGCGTTTTCTCTCTCTCCATTTAATAGCCCAAACTTAAAAATGGGCCATCATCGCTGGTGTGACTCACTTGCTTCTAGGGTCTGCCCGGGCACTGAAGGGTGAGTCTCAGGTTCGATTCCTGGGTTTCAGGTTTAATCCCCAGTCGGGAGGCAACTGTTGGATGTTTCTTTCTGACATTGATGTTTCCCTCTTTCTCTCCCTCTCCCTTCCTCTTTCTCTAAAATAAATTTTAAAAAATCAGCAGATGGCACATGAATGTTTGGTGTTCTGACTTGTCTTGAAATATTGGAGAGCTGATAATATATGTCCTGCATCTATCCATGATCAATCAGCTGCAACCAGTATCCATGACCTCCTTGAGATGTTTAGTTCATGATGGCTCTTTTCCACCCTGTTCACTCATTGGCATTACTGGCTGCAGTAGCAGTTTATGTTTTCAACCCTGACCTGTGATGTAAGGTGTGTACATGTAGGAATGAATGAGGAGGAGAGGCAAGAAAGGGCAGCAGATGGCAACTTATGCAAGCTTTTGTGTGACAGGCTTGTCTTGGTCCCATAAGGGGAGCTACAGAGACTATAAAAGGTAGATAGGAGATTGGGAGATTTAATATTTTTATATGTTTTTATTGATTTAGAGAGAGAAAGGAAGGGAGAGAGAGAGAAACATCGATTGGTTGCTTCCCGCATGCACCCCAACCAGCTACTGAACCCACAACCTGGGCATGTGACCTGAAACCAGCGACCTTTCCGTGCACTGGATGAAGCTCAACCAACTGAGCCATACTAACCAGGGTGATTTTTTAAAAATATGTTTTTATTGATTTTTAGAAAAAGAGGAAGGAAGAGGTTTAGAGAGATAGAAACATTGATGAGAGAGAAACATCATTGATGTTGATGCTCAACCAATTAGCCACACCAGCCCAGCAGGGTGATTTTTTTGTTTGTTTGTTTTAATGTGTCAATTTTGTATTGATATGCAGCAAGCCACTTAAAATTTTATTTTAAAAAGTTTGGCGAATGTAGAAAGTTTCCATGATGAAATATTAGCCTCCACATACACTACCAGGCAAACTGTCGTAGAGATCACAGAACAGAAAGTTCATAGGCAATATAAAATTGCTTGAAGGACATAGCTTAACATTACTTCAACTTTCTTACTAGGGAGATTTTAAAAAAACAGTTTTGTTGAGGTATAATTGACACACCATAAACTATATATTTAATGTATACAATTAGATTAGTATGGACATATGTATATACTTGTGAAAATATTGCCACAATATCTAGGTAACAAATATATCTATCACCTCCAAAAGTTTCCTTGTGTCTTTTTTTTTTAATCCTCACCTGAGGATTTTTTTAAAATTTATTTTACAGACAGAGAGAAGAGAGAGAGAAATCACTTGGTTGCCTCCCCACCAGAGATCAAACCCCCAACCTGGGTATGTGCCCTAACTGGGACTTGAACCCAAGACCCTTCAGTGCATGGGAGAACCCTCCAACCAACTGAGCCACACTGGCCAGAGCTCTTGTATCTTTTGTGTTCGTGTATGTTAAGAACACTGACATGAGCTCTGTGTCTGTCCCTCCATCAGAGGGCAGACACCACACCCAACCCAAGCTTTTAAGCAAAAAAAAAAAATCTTTTGTGTTCGTGTATGTTAAGAACACTGACATGAGTTCTGTGTCTGTGTCAGAGGGCAGACACCACACCCAGCCCAAGCTTTTAAGCAAAAAAGAAAAAAAAAGTAAAAGAAAAAAAAGAACACTGACATGAGATCTATTCTCTTAAAAAAATTTTGGTAAAAAAAAAAAAAAAAAAAAAGTAAAAGAAAAAAAGAACACTGACATGAGATCTATCCTCTTAAATTTTTTTTTGTTTTTTTTTAGTTCTTTTTCCTTGTTTTTTACCCTCTTAAATTTTTAATGCATAAATTTTTAAGTATAGGGAGATTTTTTGTAAGTAGAATCAATTAAACTTCAGGAAGAGAAGACAATATACAAATAACCGAAGTCTAGGTGACATTGAACCACTCTTTGAGAAGCTGAAGAAGCAGGTTTTTGGGAGATGTTAACAATGTTAGTTTGCTAGGTCTGAGGTGCCTGCAGAAACCTAAATGGAAGTGTCCAATAGGTCATTGGATTAGTGGAACTGGAGTTCAGGAGAAATGACTGGGCTAGATACCTAATTTAATAATTGAGCTCCTCCATCAATAATGTTTGATTAAATAATTTGTCTAATTTCTAAGCTGAAGACAACTAAAAACGTTGGATTAAATACTTTTAAAAATCAAGCCCTGGACAGTGTGGCTCAGTAAGTTGAGAGTCGTCTCATGTACTGAAAGGTTGTCAGTTCAATTTCCAGTCAGAGTACATGCCCCGGTTGCAGGCTGGATCCCTGGGATGTGCAGGAGGCATCATATCCTCCCCCCTCTCTGGCCCCCCATTTTTCCTTTTCCCTTCTCTCTCTCTCAAAATCAATAAAAATATTTTTTAAAAGATCAAGAACGAGTACAAGTGTGAGGAATTATTGGTGTTAGAGCATGAAAGGGCAGAAAAACGAAGTTGAAATCAGCAGTGGGACTGCTTTTACCTTGAGGTCATTTGCTGATCGGGAGCTGGTGGAAGAAAATGGGCTGTGTGGGGCAAGTGAGACAAAATTGGAATCCAAATGTTCCCAAAGATGTGACTCCTGGTAAACCACCATCCTGTTTTGGGTTATGATCCTGGAAGGCAGCACTCTTAGGGAAAACCTAAGAGTAGGGTAAACTAGAAGTAGAAAATCCAGACCCAAAATATTCAAAAACCAAAATTAAGAACCAGTTGATGGGTATAACAGCAAGTTAGACTACACTGAGAATCAAATGAATGATTCCAAAGAAAGAACAGAAGAAAGCCCTGGCTGAGTAGTTCAGTTGATTAGAGTGACTTCCCAATATGCCCAGGTTGTGGCAGGTTGCAGGCTCCATCCTGGTCAGGGCACATACAAAGACGAAATCAGCCATGAGTGGAACAACAAATCTATGTTTTTTTCTCTCTCATAATGACAATAAAAGGGATGAAAAACCTAAGAGAAGGTTAGAGACATAGAGATACTGTGAGAAAGTCTGACACACCTTTATTTGGAGCCCAGACAGAGGGAAATAATAGGATAGAAACAATATGTGAAGAGATTATGGCTGAGAATCTTAAAAAGTAGATGAAATACATTAAGCCACAAATTCCAAGTGCAACAAACCTCAAATAGGATTTTAAAAATCCATATCTAAACCCATCAGAATGAAACTGCAGGAAATTAAATAAAAAATAAAGTCTTTAAAACATAAAAAGTGGAAATAAAATAAAATATAAAAAAGAGTATTAATTGCCTTCAAAAGAAAAAACATTAGATTGACAACTTTTTTTTACAGTAAAAAGGGAAGCCATAGGAAGAAGGAGGGAACTTCACGTGAGGCTTAAGCTCAGGAGTTGCTGTAGTAACCAATCTAAGGGAATAGTGGCCAATCAGAGGGGGTATCAAGGCACAAACATCTGCAACCTTTATAAACTGTAGGGAAAAGGGACTCAGTGGGACTCTTTCCCTCTCCCCATGTGGGAGTCTGTACTTGTTCTTCAATAAATTCCCACCTTTACTGTAAGAAAAAAAAAAAAAGGGAAGCCATAGGCAGTAAAATAACATTGTAAATGTGCTGAAAGAAAATAACTCCCAACTAGGAAGCCATACCCAGAAAAAAATGTCCTTCGAAAACACATGTGAAATAAAGATGTATTCATACAAACCAAAACCAAGAAAGCGACCAGCAGAGGGACACTAATTCTCAAGCAGGAGGAATGTTATTCCAGGTGAGTGATTGGAGTTGCAGGAAGGAATCAAGAGCGCAGCCCCTGGCTGGGTGCATGAATGGGTGGAACAACAAATCTCTCTCTTTCTCATCAATAAAAAATTAAAAAATGGTAAATTTAGTCAACAATAAAAATAAAGTTTAAAAAATGGTAAATCTAAATCACCACTAATTTAATTAACAAACATTAATGTCTTGTGGGACTGAAAATATATAGATAATTAAATTGTGTGCACATATATACCTACACCTACCCAAGAGAAGTGAATGCATCTGACCACAAGAATTTTGCAAAAAAAAAAAAAAATGTCCATAGCAGTTTTATTTATAATGGCAACCCAAATGTGTTTGTCTGCGACTCAGTTGGTTAGAGGTCCTGAATTCATCAAAAGGAGAAAGGACAGACATACACTCCTATGTGGCTCAGTGGTTGAGCATCAACCCATTCACCAAGGGGTCACCTGTGTGTCCAGTTAGGGCATATGCCCAGGTTGTGGGCTTGGTCTACAGTGGGGGGCCTGTAGCAGGCGGTTGATCAGTGTTTCTATCTCTCTATCCCTCTCCCTTCCTCTCTCTCTATAATCAATAAAAATATATTTTAAAAAAGGAGAAAGGACAAACTGTGGTATAATTATTCAATGGAATGCTACTCAAATAAAAAGGGACAAATTACTGATAAATGCAAAAACTGGAGCTGGGGCAAAAAAAGAGTACATACAGTGTGAGTCTATTTATTTGAAGTTCAAGAACAGACAAAACTAATCTATGATCACAGAAATCAGAAGAGAGATTGCCTCTAGTGGCAGGGCAAAGGGGTATGAGCAAACTGAGGTGATAAAAACATCACCTCAGTTGGTTCTATAGACGGAATATATTACTCAAAAATAATGTAAGATTGAGATATCCCAAACTTGAGCTAATAACTTCTGAAGCTAATTTTTCAGTCAACATTATCTCTGAAAATTTCCTTAAAAATGACATCCTTTAAAAAAAAAATATGAGGTAAGCCCTAACTGGTTTGGCTCAGTGGATAGAGCGTTGGCCTGCGGACTCAGGGTCCCAGGTTCGAATCCGGTCAGGGCATGTACCTTGGTTGCGGACACATACCCAGTGGGGAGTGTGCAGGAGGCAGCTGATCGGTGTTTCTCTCTCATCGATGTTTCTAATTCTCTATCCCTCTCCCTTCCTCTCTGTAAAAAAATCAATAAAATAGGAAAAACCTCGCATAAGGGTAAAACCATCCGTTTGTAGAATGAGGAAAGGAAAGAAGTGCGGGGAAACTGCCACGGGGATGGGCCGGGTCCTTCTCTCCTTGCTTCTTCCCTTGCTCGCTTTCTCTGAAATCTCTTTCCGAAGCAGCCTCAGTTTCCCTTCTAGTCCCTCACCATCAGTGCTTTCCCCTCTGATTCAATCCACACACGCCTCCTTTTCTCAGAGCCGCTTCTTCTGAGTAGTGTCCATTGCTGCTTAATGTCCCTTCCTATTCCCTCATTTCACTTGCTAATGGCAAAAACAGCTTCAAAAGATTGCACTTTTTGAGGGAGGAAAAAGTAGAAGGATGGCGTTTACTTTTACTGAAAAAGTTAAAATTCTCTTTTATTCTAGTGAAGGGGAAAAAAAAAAGTCCTGCTAGCAGAGGATGGTTTCGATCCATCGACCTCTGGGTTATGGGCCCAGCACGCTTCCGCTGCGCCACTCTGCTGCTGCGGGTGTAAACGTCTCCTGGTTCCTATAGAAAGCTTCCTACGTAATCTCTGTCCTAATCTCTTTACACAGCGCCGTCTAATGTCTGGTTAAAAAAAAAAAAAATTCGTCATTACTGTCTAGTCTATTCTGATTGGCTAGTTCCTGACGCAGCAGGGATTTTTAATTGGTTTACAAGCCCGTTTTCTACGGTCAACCAATAGGCATAAGCGGAGGGGCGAGGCGGGAGCCAATCGCGCCGTGGCTTGTTGGCATACCGGCACGCCGCCTCTGCGCCTGGCGGCAGCTCGGAGGAGAGGGGCGGTTGGTGTGGCTTCCATTGTTCAGGATCTAGGGCGCCATGAGGTGAGGACACGGAGGGGGTCTGGAAAGGTGGGGGGTATGTGGCCGAAATCGCTGGGGAGGTGGGCCGGGAGGAGGGTGCGCCGGAAAGGACCATGTGCCGGGGGGCTGCCCTGAAAGCGGAGAACTCCGGGTCTGGGCGAGTGGGGGCGATCGGAGGCCGCGGAGGCGGGGAAACCCGGGCCTGGATGGAGGGTTCCACAGCCCGGTTTCTGGGGGTTCAGGCGAGGGGAGTCCTCGGGTTCCCGGAGGAACACCCCTCTCGTCTCCCCATGTGGCCCGAGGAGGCTTGAACGCGGCCTCATTCATCCTCCAAGTGCTTGACCAGATGTGCCCGGGGGATGGTTCACTCTCTCGATGAAGAAAGAAGAGCCTTTAGTCTCTGAAGGGGCAGCGTTGTCGTGTCCGGGGATGATGGGGTGCTCCTTGGAGGGGCTCAGCGGGGGGGGGCGTCGTTATCTGGTGTGGGTTGTGATGAACGTCTCCAGATCGAGGTCAGGGGTGAGGTTGGGCTTTTGAAATGGGGAGGAATCCCAGTGGGAACGGGGATGCTTAGTTTCCACAGGAAAGTGCGGACATGGAGGTCGGCAAGCTTGAAATGATAGGCCAGCTGGTGGGGAAACGAGTTGAAGTCTCTTTGTTTTATGCGTTTCCAGGGGCGACAGAGGCCGAGGTCGCGGCGGGCGCTTTGGTTCCCGAGGAGGCCCGGGAGGAGGGTGAGTGTCCGGCTTCTCTGCGCTGCTTCGTTCCCCATGTCCTCACCCCAGTAAGAGCCTGGGGTGGACTCAGGCACCCGCCTTTGTGAGATGCAGCTGTGGTTCAGAAGCCACATGCTCTCCTGCTAAGCGACTTTATCTTCGGTAGTTAGTAATTTGGACTCTTTCTCTTGCTTTAGGTTCAGGCCCTTTGTGCCCCACATCCCGTTTGATTTCTACTTGGTGAGTACCACTGTCTGTTCCCCGGTGACAGACATGGGGCCTGCCCACTTTTCACTTGCAGTTTCCTGGAGCCCAGCATCTCCCTGTTAAAATGGTGGTTGCAGGAGGAAAGGGGATTAGGGAATAGAGTTGGGGTTTTGAATCAGCTGCATGTTGCTTTACATACAAAAACAGTATAAGCTGGGTAGGTAAGCTAATTCCTTGGCTACTATGGGCAGTAACATGTTTGTAATCTTTGTTATGAATAGTTATTGTATCTCTGGCTTATCTGTTAACGTAAAGGTGGCAAGAGCTTAAGTTATGGCTGTTTCTTCCAGTTTGTATCCTTGTTTGGACATCTTAAGAAGTAAAAACAAGTGTTGTAAGATTTTTTGTTTTCAATTTTTTCTGTTGTAGCAACAGAAATGTAATCTCCCCTGTATATTATTTTTTAAAAATATTTTTTTATTGAGGGGCTTGTATGCATGCATACGAGCATAACTGGTTGGTGAGGGCATGTGCTGGGGGGTGGGAGCAGCCGGGGAGAGGTAAAGGGGGAAAAGGAGACTTATGTAATACTTTTAAACAATAAAGAATTTAAAAATATAATTGATTTCAGAGAGAGGAAGGGAGAGGGAGAGGGAGAAACATCAATGATGGAAGAGAATCAATAATCGGCTGTCTCCTGCACACCCTCTACTGGGGATCAAGCCCGCAACCGGGGCATGTGCCCTTGACTGGAATTGAACCCAGGACCCTTCAGTCTGTAGGCCAATGCTCTATCCACTGCGCCAAACCAGCCAGGGCTGTTTATTATTTTGATAAATATTAAATAGTTGTTTATTTCTGGTTTAGTGTGAAATGGCCTTCCCTCAGGTTAAGCCAGCACCTGATGAATCTTCCTTCAGTGAGGCATTGCTGAAAAGAAATCAAGACCTTGCTCCTAATTCTGCTGAACAGGTATATTCCTTTGGCTTTTTCCCTGTGATTTCTCTGAGAAAGCTAGAGAGGTGAGTAACTACTGGTGAGGTTACTGTTATCAGAGCCTAAACTTCACAGGTTTATATTAGCCTCCTTCTCCCTCCACCCCCAGCCTTGTACATGGGGTGTATGTTCTGAGACCCTCACTGTTTGCCTGAAACTGCGAATAGTACTGAGACTTGTATATACTATCTTTTTTCCTATACATACGTACCTGTGGTAAAGTTTAATTTACAAATTAGACACAGTAAGAGCTTAATAGAAATAACTATAACTTCTAAAATAGAACAGTTATAATAATATACTGTAATAAAAGTTTTGTGAATATGGTCTCTCAAAATCTCCTGCTGTACTGTGCTCACTGTTTTTCATGTGATAATGTGGATGATACGATCCTCTGCCTACATGATGAAGTGAGGTGAATGACACAGGCACTGGCATAGCCTCAGGCAGCTTACTAGAAGGGTTACTTGAACTGAAGCACGGTGACACCTCCACAGTTGATCTGATAACAGACAGGGCTATGGGCAGGTAGCATGTACAGCATGGATACACTAGACAAAGGGGTGGTTCATGTCCTGAGGGGGATGGTGCACAATTTAAAACTTATGAATTGTTTATTTCTGGAATTTTCCATTTAATATTTCCCTAACACAGTTGACTGCAGGTAACTGAAACCATGGAAAACAAAACTAGCAAAATGGACTACTCTAAAATTGTTCTCCTTATTTCTCATGGTGGGTGGAGGAAGAGTGCCAGATTGCATATGTGTTCATATTTTTATTGGAGAATCTATCTTTGAGATAAAAGTTTTCTTCTAGTGTATTCAAGGCCAGATGGGTCAGTGTTTTCAAAGCCCTATATTGGTATTGATTCAGCTTGTATGGAAGGGACTAGGGGGAAATAATTCAAACTGAGAAGTTGCTTATAATTTTTCACCTTAGGTTGTTTTTGTTTCCTGCTGTTTTTCAGGCCTCTATCCTTTCTCTGGTGACAAAAATAAACAATGTGATTGACAATTTGATTGTGGCTCCAGGGACATTTGAAGTGGTGAGTTTTTGATGATTTAGTCCTGGAAAAGGGCAGCCTCGGTTGTGTGGGAATTACATTGGCTCCTGTTTTTTTTAATTCTTCCATCAAAGCCATGCCTACACGGGAAAGTACAATGGAATTCCTTTGTGGTACTGATCTTGGGACAAGACTTGTATTATTGTTTTCAGCTAGCCATGATGTATCAGGCTTTTCTTAATGGTTTTGGGATATGATTTGACCTGTGCAGCTTCCAAATCTGGGTAATAAGCAGCTGTGTTGTAACTGAGCTCTGAGAGGAACTAGGCAGTCTTTTCACTTTTTTTCCTTTCTCTCCGAAATCCTTTTTTTCCAACAGCAAACTGAAGAGATGCGACAGGTTAGATCATATAAAAAGGGAACAATGACTACAGGACATAATGTGGCTGACCTGGTGGTAATCCTAAAGATTTTGCCAACGTGTGAGTATACCTCTTTCTGGCTATGGAAACAGAACATAGCGGTTGGATTTGAGGCATAGGGATCTTTAAAGCCCAAATTTCTCTCCTTTTCTCTCATTTTAGTGGAAGCTGTTGCTGCCCTAGGGAACAAAGTCGTGGAAAGCCTAAGAGCACAGGATCCTTCTGAAGGTTTGAGTTTGTTGCTGAACACGTATTTAGTGGTCATAAGAGCCAGATCTGTCATTCTAAGTGTACAGTTAACAAAGTCTGGCCAGAAGGAAATGTGAATGGAGAGCTTTATGTTGGGGAAGTGTGGGCGAGATCTCCATTGTTCAAAATCCTGTTGATCTCCTTTACTTTTTTTTTATTTTTGTTGACATGATCTTTACTTTCAAAACTCTGTATTCTAAATCCTCATTCTGGACTCTTGCTGCTTTTGAAAACCTATCAATTCACTAATGGAAATCTGAGAGTTAGAACTTTTGAATTTTTTCTTTTCTTTTAGTTTTGACCATGCTGACCAATGAAACTGGCTTTGAGATCAGTTCTTCTGATGCTACAGTGAAGATTCTCATTACAACAGTGCCACCCAATCTCCGAAAACTGGATCCAGAACTCCATTGTTAGTCCTTTTTTTTCCCATTGCTGGGAAATTTAGAGGAAATTCAAAAGATGGTATACAGTTGCTGTTGAGTTTACTGAGCTTGTTGCTATTCCACATAAAACCTTCTGCAACCTAAGTTTATTCCCAAACTTTGTTTTCTCCATCTGTAATTTGGAGACAGGTTTACCAGCATGCTAGTGAAATTGTCAAAATAGGATGACCAGGAAAGCAGTTTGAGGGCTAAGAACTATGGAAATACTTACGGAGTTGGGTTAGGCTTTTGGAAAACGTTGTGGATCTTGTATGCTTCTAGATTTGGTCTAGGGGAAAAGTAGTGAGTTTTGGACAAGTGATTTGCTGACCTGAGAAACAGAGTGGTTTATTAATTTTCATTACTATTTTTGAATCCTCACCCAGGACATGTATTTTTATTGATTTTTTAGTGAGAGAGGAAAAGGGGGAGGGAAACATTGATTGGTTGCCTTCTGTATGTACCCTGACAGGGAATTAAACCTGCAATGTAGGTATGTGCCTGGTCTGGGAGTCGAACCCTTTTAAAAAAATTATTTACTGATTTTAAACATCTATTTGTTGTTCTACTTATTTATGCATTCATTGGTTGATTTTTGTGTGTGCCCTGACCGGGGAATCAAACCCTCAACCTTGATGTATTGGGGTGACACTCTAACCAACTGAGCTATGTGGCCAGGGCAAACCCACAACCTTTTGGTGCATGGGATGATGCTCCAATTAACCGAGCCACCCGACCAGGGCAAACATGGTGTGGTTTAGGAATTACATTATCCTGTCGTCCTTCCAAGTTACTGAACTGTGGTGGTGGGGTTGAATTGCTTGCTTAATGATAGGAATGTTTCATCTTGGCCTGTCATGCTTCTAGTGGACATCAAGGTGTTGCAGAGTGCCTTAGCAGCCATCCGACATGCCCGCTGGTTTGAAGAAAATGCTTCTCAGTCCACGTGAGTTCCCCCCTCACTGTTTGAGCTAAGATAACCTAACCCTTCTAACTACAGTACAGGATACTGCTGTACTTCCTCTGACAGAACTTTTGTGGCTCCAACCTTCTGTCTGGGTTCTGAATTTTATGTTAAGCAAAATTCAAATTGAAATTGAAAGGAGAGAATGTGTAGTTCTGGAAATAGCTTTAGCTGTGTACCTCGGGTGTGGGAGTACATGGTCATTACTTTTAATCCCTGGGTCCCTCCTACCTTTAGAGTTAAAGTTCTCATCAGACTTCTGAAGGACCTGAGGATCCGTTTTCCTGGCTTTGAGCCCCTTACACCCTGGATCCTTGACCTACTCGTAAGTAAAGGGCAGTTGTTCCTGATCTTCCCTATTTAATACTCTGACATCTACCAGAATCTGAAGTTTGGTGAAGCTTAAAAAAATTTCATTGCTGGACAAGTAATCCAATAAAGATTTTTTTAGAGTAAGAGTCGTTATTAATGCCCCTTTGTCTTTTTTATTATTGCTGTCATTTCACTAATGTAATAACGGAAAGGACAGACTAGATGAGCAGTCATTTCAGAATCCCTTCTGAACATGAACATGTTGACTTGGCCTTAATAACCAATTTTCCTCATGATAGCTTAAAGTTGTAGTTTGTTTTATGGCACACCTACCAGATTTATTCTTTTCCAGGGGCACTATGCCGTGATGAACAACCCCACCAGACAGCCTTTGGCCCTCAATGTGGCATACAGGTACAGCATGCTTCTCTGGGTTTGGGACTGGAGGTAAACTGTCTTTTTTGCTCTTTTAACACCTCCCTGTGTTTCAGGCGTTGCTTGCAGATTCTGGCTGCAGGGCTGTTCTTGCCAGGGTCAATGGGTATCACAGACCCCTGTGAGAGTGGCAACTTCAGAGTACACACGGTCATGACTTTGGAACAGCAGGTATTGGGACAGCTCTGAAATGGTCTGTTGTGCGCCATTCTTGAATACTCCTGGGTCTGAAGGCAAAGGGAATGTGGTCTTTAGGGGTCAAGATATGGGGGTTCTCATATACTTTAGGCTTGAAATTGAAAGGTTATCTTCATCTCTGTTTTCATGAGAATGTTAGTCAAACAAGGTGTTTTGATTATATTTGCTTATTTATCCTCACTTTGCTCTCTTTCAGGACATGGTCTGCTACACAGCTCAGACTCTGGTCCGAATCCTCTCACATGGTGGCTTTAGGAAGATCCTTGGCCAGGAGGGTGATGCCAGCTGTGAGTGATCCCTGGGTTGGAGGTTCTTTAGGGTATTCTGTGGTCTACAAAGAAACTCTACACTACTCAGATGTCTTAATACTTCCACTGTGTAGATCATGACTCGTATGCTGGGCTACTTGTCTGAAATCACACCTTTTTTCTCTTCTAGATCTTGCTTCTGAAATATCTACCTGGGATGGAGTGATAGTGACACCTTCAGAAAAGGCTTATGAGAAGCCACCAGAGAAGAAGGAAGGGGAGGAAGAGGAGGAGAATACAGAAGAACCACCTCAAGGAGAGGAGGAGGAAAGCATGGAGACTCAGGAGTGACTCCCTTCTCTCCACTCTTTCTTACCCAAGGGGAAGATTGGAGCCTGAGCTAGCTGCTACTGGGCTCTATTTCTGAGGGCTGGGGGAGACAGGAAAGAAAATAAAAATAAACCACGGAAGGAAATGTCATCCCGCTGAATTCTTATGTTGACTTAGTAGCCAGAAGTCTCCCATCTCTAGTGAAGCAGGTTACCAACTTTTCTTCATGATATTGTAGAGTCTCCAGCTCCTTGAAACCTCTCTCAACCAGTACTTTGTTGTTGAAATGTCAACTGTTCATGCCTGGAAATTTTTTTTTTCTAAGAAAAATAAAGTACTTCCTACTAGGGCTCTTTCTTGGTCTTGTATTTCTGTGGTATCTGGCCACCCTTTTTGCTTTCTGTACTCTTAATTGAAAATGCTACTCGAGTATTTTCATTGTGAACGCTAGATCACAATTTGAAGCTGTATTTGAATTTATTCAAGTACAAAGATCCTTGGAACCTTTCCATATACCAAAGTAAACGAGTATTGTTTAAGCATTTATTGAATTAAATGGTTCCAGCAAGACTACTGTGTTCAAGCCAGTGAAATGTACAACAGGGTGGATGGGTGACTGCCTGCCCTCTCCAAATCCTAAGCATAAACAGGAAAATGGGAAGTCACAGGTAGAGGGGTGTGCTGCCCAGGCCCCAACAACTACCAACTTTGCCAGCCATGTAACAAGAAGCCCCTCCCTGGTTAACTAGATTTGAAGGTAGAGGTGAAACGAGTATGTTCCTTTAAAAAATGTCGAGGTCTCAGCTCATTCTTGGAAGGAAGAGCTGGAATAAATCCTTTGGGACCCTGAGTCCTGCTGAACAGATTTCCGTGGACCCCCACATAAATGGGTACGACTGTTCGAGTGCTTCAAACACAATCCATAGGATTGCCTTGGTGTCCCAGGGTTAATAGGGTGTCCTGAAGGAAATGAGGCAGGTGGGGATAGTACTTGAGCTATTCTGAGGCCCATCTTCTGTTACTTGCTTGGGGAGCCAGGGGGGTAAACTCCTGAATCCAGCATTGCCCTTCTTCGGGCTGTTTCCTTGGCAACACTGTGGTTTAGCCGCCTCAGCCGCTCCTATAAGACAAATTTGTAATCTTAACTGCTCTGTGCAAGGCTTTAGAGCTCACTGTTACCGGGCATGTAAAATATCTTACGCTTGCTCCATCTCAATGTAGGTCTCCTAAGGTATATAAGAATGTAAATAAGAGCCACTGGGCAGTGAGAAGAAACAGTTCTAGCCCGGCTGGTGTGGCTCAGTGGTTGAGCATCGACCTATGAGCCAGGAGGTCATGGCTCGATTCCCAGTCAGTCAGGGCAAATACTCAAGTTGTGGGCTCAATCTCCACTGGGGTGCAATCGATTCTCATCGATGTTTCTATCCCTCGCCCTCTCTGAAATCAATAAAAATATTTAAAGAAATAAAAAAGAATAAACAGTTCTAGACCCTAATTTAGTTGACTTCCTTTCCCCAAAGACTTGAAAAATGACTTTCGTTGAGTTGGAGACGGGAGACATCCCTTGAAAAGTGGAGACACACACTGAGAACTTACAAAGCAGAGCAGTCACTGCTGGCAGGAAATTCTTTTACCTGGGCGTTCTGCAGAATGTTATTGACCAAGACAACTCGTCGCCGGGCGTTAAGGAGCTTCTTTACATAGGGATCGAGATCCAGGGCCACTTTCTGATCCTCATTGATACGGCACAGCTCTGTGGGCGTAATGTAAGGTGCAACTAATACCTGCTGGCTCATGTCTTGTTTTTTGGCAAAGTAGGACGGAAAACACTCTTGCACCACAAGGACCACAGTCACTAGAAACTTAACGGAATCTGAGGCAGCGTTGCCATGCTGCAAGGAAGTGACAGAAACTCAGCCCAGGGGACGGACTTTGGCAAAACCTAAGGTCCGGAAAGCCAGCTGAAGGATTCCGAGTACATAGGGATGCTTACTCACCGGTAGCCAGGTTGTCGATTTGTTCCCGCAGCTCTACCTGGCTTTCTCTGCAAAGAAATGCAAGACCTACAGGGTCAAGCAACGGGACTCAGGACACCTGTTCCCCGGCGCATTTCCCAAGTGCTGAGAGCAGC